ACCTTATTATTATGGGCATGCGAAAAGAATAAGCTAATTTGTAAGTATTATAGTTGACTGTTTAATTTAGTTTTTTCTTTAAAAAGTTATCTGAGTGTCTTATCTTTTTGGTTCGGCTGGGGAGGCAAATTGTCCTATAAGTTATAAAAAAGGTCAAGTAGGTATGTAATGTAAGATAAATAAACATAATTAATTAACAATTTTAGGACGGCACGAAAAAGAGTTGGAGATTCCGACAAGATGAGATTCAAACTCGTTCGTTTGTCTTAAGATCATCCCCACATAAAATCTTCTTTATAACTAGTTTTTTTGAGAAAAAAATAAAAGAAAATCACAGCTTGAAGATATGTTCAATTGTCTCTAAGTTTCAATATGTACAATGCATCTCACCTATTTGCCTATCTGTTCATTCTTTCTTATTGTACCTTTTAACTTTCGAATTATGTGGATATACACACGGGTTCGTGGAATGTATACGTTTACATTAGTTAGTATAATATAATCACATTTTAGTTAGTTATAGTTATCAAACGAATAATTGATTTGTCTTATTGTGTTTTTTTAGCATTCATGTTTGATAAAAGAAAATAAAAGTAAATTGGGGTGGCATGATTACTGATGGTATTCTTGTCTCGCTTTAAAGTCAGATGTCTCCATATTCATATTCCATTAAAGAGGATTAATTACGTCGCTAATTAAGTGTTAGTTGTGGTCCCATATTGTAATAGGGTCTGATGTATGAGAATGGATTAAAAATTAGAGACTTGAGAGGTTCGAAAAGGTTGTTTGGTAAGTTTGAACTTCGACGAATACCAATAGAAAAATGTATAAGAAAAATAAATTAATGTGTATTATCAATGAGTAATCGATTTTAGTTATATCAATGTTATTATCGTTTTAATTAACTAGATAATCGATTAGCACTACTTCTCTTTTAATTAACTTGAAAAGTAGTATTTTTTGAAATTTTTCTTTTATTTTTGAGAAATTTCAAAAAATACCACTTTTCAAGTGACATTTTACAAAAATGCCACATTTTTGAAATCTTTACAAAAATGGCACTTTTTCAAAATTATTTTTTCTTTATATCATTTATGTTTGGGTTAATGATGTTTTATTAGGGTTTAGTTATGAGGGTTTAGGGGGTTTTAGGGATCAAAACATTT